TACTGGGTTTAACCACATATAATGTCAAATATATTTACAGCTAATTTCTTTAAGGGTATATAAATGTAATTTATATTGGAATATACTATGATATATATGTTATACAACTCTTGCCTCGCCTAAAGTAATTTATGATTAAACACAAAGTTTGTTTCTGATAGTCCAGTAGGTAGTATGTCCAATTGAAAATGGTTCTCTGACGATGACAATAAGTATCCATGCAAAGACAAATCTACAATAGGATTTATATTGGCGGTTAAATAGTCACTACCATGAAATAATTTGAAAAATACAAATGTGATATTTTATGTGAAAACCATATCGAAGACAAATGTAATTATTTTATAGTGCTATATCGATATTTACAATGTTAATTTATATTAAATAACTTTCGGTAAATAGATTAGAATCCGTATAATAATCCTTTTTCACGTATATTTCATATATTGTAAGGCCCATCATTTATTACGACCCACCTTGTCCGCTTTTAACAGTACTTTGGTGTGTGTTTGAAAATTAAAGAAATAACAAGTGTAACTAAACAAATTAAACATATAATAATTAATTTCTAATATGGCAGTCTTCCCAACATGTTTGCAAAATCATTCTGTCAGAGAGTATGATAAAACAGAATAAAGCTAAAACAGTTTAAAATTTAATTCTCTTAAAACTAATTAGTTTTGTAAAGTTTTTATGCCCATCCCACTTATTATCATAATCTTAAAAAAGATTTAAAAATGGTTTAATACAATTCTTAATATACTCTTACGGACTTTGTCTTAAGTCGTAATTAGTCTTGAGATATTGTTTTAAAAATACTCCTAAGGACCGTTCTAGGATTCTCACTCTTAAAGCAGATTTATAGCAGCCCTAAGGCTATCTCGCGGATTCAAAAGTTTTGTCGTGTCTTAAAAAAGGGTTTTATGGTTACCTTGTACCCAGACAACACACCAAATCCCAGAGATATCCGCAGAATATCTTTTGTGGATATCCAATATATCCACAGGATATCAGAAATATTCCGTGGATCTAATATGGATATCCAAATGTCCGTTTATATCCAGGATATAGAAGATATCCTAATGGATATTCAGCAAAATATCTAATGGGTATCTTCCAGAAAATACAAGAAATCACAGAGATATCCACAGAATATATTTTGTGGATATTCAATATATCCAATATGGATATCCAAATATTTTATGGTTATCTTTAGTAGAGGTTCATAAGTAACCAATGATTATTGAATAACTTCGAAAGAAAATAGGCAGAGATAAAAAATATTTTCAACACTCTGCCTTTGATTTTGCCCACTAAGGAGAAAGTCATCCTTATTAGGACTCTTCAGCAATAAATGAAAATTCTCGACTCCAGTCTCTAATGGAGTGATTAGGACACACATTTCGATCGAACTCAATTACGGCGGGTCGAGCTTGAGTAGATGCGATAGTGGTATCGCCATCTATACTTAGTAAGCAGAATCAAATAACATCTAGTGGATATCCACGATGGTTTGCGTTCGCGCCTAGACTTTGATATATTTAGTGGATGTTCATGGGATATTGAATACACCTTAAAAAAATTAATTTTAAATATCTGAACGGTACTACAATGGCGTAATTTTTTTAAATAATTTGCTATATAATTACTATTATTTATGGACATTTGCATGTCTATAAATTACATTTCATGGATATAAAATAGATATCTACCATGGACTGGACATTCAGTGGATATTGGGATGTTCAGTAGATATCCAAAGGATTTGGTGTGCTGTCTGGGTATACTTTGGTAAATCTAAAAATGTTACTTGGGTATCTTGAAAAGGTAACGTACATTTAATCTGTAATAGCTTATTTCGTGATTTGACGTTCTTATTGAAAATTTTTAATCATTGTCATATTTGATATTGTGGCGTTATTCTTGTTTTATCTAAACATGGTATGCATTAAAATTATTATACAAATTTGAAAATATGAAAATGAATAATTCCCCCTTCGAAATTATGAAAAATACATTCCCTGGAACCTTCGGACTGTAGCGGTCCATGCTCTTACCAGTAGTTGAGCTATCGAGACACAATTTCGACATCTGAACTAGTAGATTTGAAGTCAAATCAGATTCTGACTTTCGCCGGAGCAAACACAAATTCTTATCTCATTCTAGCTCTCTCATTCTTCTTAAAGCCACTCTTGTGACATCGTGTAGGACGACACTCTCATTGTACTAGGATGAATTCCTAAGATCCTTCATTCGTTCACCAGTGTTATTTTCGAGTACGGTCCGCCGTAAACGTAAAATTAAATAAAGTGAGATGATAATTTTTTTTATGAAATGGAAAACGCTTTAAGAGATATATTACAAAGTACATTTTCATTTGGTCAAGTGGAAAAAAGACAAAAGCTACTCTATAAAAAATACAGAGGAATGCATAAGGATAAGCAAGGGCTGGTAACTCAAATGGAAAAAACATGAGGAAGGTTATTTAGTACCACTCCAATTAACGGGATGGCGCTCGTGTCGAAATGACAGTTGTCAGCTCGTGCAACGCAAAAATTTAAAATGGCTAATGAAGATGCATTGGATTTTGATTCATTTTAGATATATTTTCAATAGATGGGTTTTAGCACTCACAGTTATTGACAGTGATGCAATTATATATCGTATTGAATATGCGGTCTTAATTTTAGGGATAACCAAAAAATTAGGAAATAGCGTCAAAGAAAAATGCAATTCTTATAAATTTGCACCAATAGTAAATAATATTTACAACTTGTTCTTGATTTAATATTAAAATAATATTGGTTTATTATTTTAATTTTTTTTTTTTTTCAGTTATTAATGATTCTCATTGAAAAGAAAATATGTTGCCCCCCCCTCCCCCCCCCCCCCCAAATACCCTGTACATTGCTGAAATGAAATCTGGTAGCTTCATCCTCAAACATCAAATTTATTCAATGTCATTGACATCAAACAAGAAAAATTTACCCCAAACTCTTTAAGGATCCAAACGTGTAAGTTTAATTTAAGCCCAAAAGCTAAATTAATTTATCACAATGCCCAGAGGATGAATAAAAATTTGAAAAGCTACAAGTTTTGAACAAATAAATCAATAAAAAAATTATCTGATAAAGAAATTGCTCTCCAACCAAATTAGGATGCTTGATAAAGTGATAAACATACCGTCGTTGATACTTCAATTAGTCGTATGTCAAAAATTTACATTTAGATTAATGTACATTTATAATTCAAATTGATCCTACAAAATCTCGCGAACCACTAGCCTAGCAAGCGTTCAACGTGATTTATTTTGTTTACCAATTATTGTTTTATTTTTCATGTTGCTCTGACAGAAAAAGAATAAAATAAATAAGTTGGGAGATAAGATAATATTTTAAAATATAAAAAATATTTCATTTCAAATAAATTATCGCAAAATACTCCTGCAACCACTTCATTTAGGTATACATCGCAACGCGTATTATACATTACTGAACTTAATAAAATCAAATTCACACCTTAGGTGTGCTGGGAGGAACGACAACCCACTAATCAATTCATCACAAAGTGGGATATAGTGCGTACTCGCTTTTTATGATACTATTTAGTGTAAATAAATTATAAATAGCTGTTTTAAATAAATAAAAGAACGTTACAGAAATAATACGAACTAATGGACTATCATATAAAGAAAATACATATATTTTGTATCTCGAAGACAAATACTGTCTTTTTCAAATCCTTATTTTTTTTATTTCATATAGTCAATAATAAGAGATTACTTCGTAAATGTTGAGATATGCCTTTATTGATAAACATGACAAAAAATTTACTAAATGTGAATACATGTATTTGTCTCTCATTAGACCATAAATAATTGAAACAAGACCAACAATTTAAATCTCTTGAGACACTTAAAGAATGTCTTTTATATTAAACTAGCTGTTGCTCGCGACTTTGCTCGCATGTAGTGTTATTAATATAAAAAAATACATGACTATTAATTTTTATTAGTTTTATTGCTTTTAATTCATTTTTATTCATTTGTATTCATTTTTATTCATTCGTATTCATTTTTATTCAGTTGTATTCACTTTTATTAATTTTTATTACTTTTTATTAATTTTTATTCATTTTCAATAATTTTTATTCATTTTTATTAATTTTTAATATTTTTTTTTTTAATTTTGGTTTATTTTTATGATACTACCATACAAAAATCTAAAAACCACAGAGCACGTCATTATTTATTTAAGCTACAATTATAATTTTCAAGTTCCAACGTTCCAAAAATTTATACTTCTATACAAACATTCACCCCCTTAAAATGTAAAAATCCAAAAACCATGAAACATATCATTTTTGATTTTTTAATCAGTAGCTGTAATTCAAATTTTCACCCCCCATATCCTCCCTTAAAATGTTAAAATGCAAAAACACTTATTATTTATTATTATTATTATTAGTGAAAATATAAAAACCCTAAAACACATTATTAATTTGTACTCAGTAGCTGCAATTCCAATTTTTATGTTTCTAACTTTAAAGAGAACCAAAAACATGGATACCCCCAAATTAATTTTCACCCCCCATTTGCCCCCTTAAAATGTGAAAATCCAAAAACCCTGAAACACGTCATTAATAATTTGTAGTCAGTAGCTAATTAAATTTATTTAGCTCGAAAATATTTTTTTAAAAAAACAAAAATTTACTTTTTGAAGATTAGAGACTTTATTTATCTGACTTTACTCTACAACAATCTAAGCTGGAATGAATTTTAATAATCTATTTTACAAGATAATGCTAAATGCAAAGTTAACAGTTTACACCGTTTACGGTTTTATATTTAGATAGAATTAGCGTTTCTTCTTATATAACTAGCTGCAATTCCAATTTTCATGTTTCTAACTTCAAAGAGAACAAAAAAAAATCGATAGTCCCATACAAACATTCACCCCCCCTCCCGTTTCCCCCCTTAAAATGTGAAAATCCAAAAACTATGAAACACGTCATTATTTATTTATGCTTAGTAGCTGTAATTTAAATTTTCATGTTTCTAACTTTAAAGAACAAAGAGTTTCATTAAAAGCTCCCTCCCCCCATTTCCCCCCTTTAAAGTTAAAATTTCCAAAAATCCATTCTTAGCGGATGCTTACGTTATAAAATAAACCTATGTTCCAAATTTCAACTTTCTAGGCTCAGTAGTTTTGACTGTACGCTGATAGGTCAGTCAATCAGTCAGGACAAACAATTTTACATATAGATTAAAAAGTAAAGTAGGTGTAGACAACCATAGGACCGAAAAATATTAATGTACAAATACAAATTTGTCTAGTACTTGCAGGGGTAGTCCATATAGTCAAAACTTACTCCAAATAAAACTATGAATCATTTTGGTTATCAAGTTTATGTTATAAATATGACGTTTTATGGTAAAATGAACACATTAGCAGTACCTTTAAATTAACAACAGTTTTCAATCAGAATTATTTTAATACAGAGATTAATGCCTTCTAACACCTCCAAATTGCAGCTATTACTTTGTTTTCTAATATAATTGTTAAGTGATACCTCATTTTAAAATGCTCAAAACTTACTATTTAATTTTGAGATGAAATTGATATTTGAATAAAAAACAATATTAAATGAAAACAATATTTATTGAAAAACGTTTCTACTGTCGATACATTATTTAGATTAGCAATTTTCCGAGAAACCGCAAAAAGGTCATCAAGATTTCCTGATTTAATTCCGTTGGAATTCTTTTATAAAGTAAGGTGCAGAATACTAAACAAGATAATTTTGCATATTCATCAAAACTCAGAAGCACTGATTTTCTCAGAAACTCACATTTCCATAAAAATAATTGAAATTTGAAGGGGCGAAGTCACATTTTTGTCATAATAATGAAACTAAAATATTGTCAAAACTGGCCAAAGAACGTTATTATATATTAATACTAACACTTAAACATTCCTACCAGTTAAGCTTCCCCCAGACCAACGCGAATTCGCGGATTCGCAGCGAATTAGTCAATACAATAGCCATAAAATTCGCGTTATTTTGAACATGTAGGTTTGTCGCGGAATTTTCGCGTTGGTTTGGGGAAGCCTTTATGAATACATAAAAATACAATTATTATTATTACTTACACTTTCACTAAATTTTGAATACTATTAATTTTGACATAGACCTAAAAATTACATCAAATTATGATAAAAAAATTATGGAGACCAGTTATTTGTCTATAATTTGATTTTTAAATTTTATTGGTTTATTGTACATTTTTCTTAGTGACTATTTCATCGGGCAGTAATTTTCAAGTCACATTTTCATAAATAAATTTGAATTTTCATCATTATTGAAAAATAATTAAAATGGCAGCATTTTTAAGTGATATATTTGGGTTTCTTTATTTGTCCCACTGTTTTAACTATTTGATACTATGACACACAAATGTTATAGAAAAATAGATCTATTACTTGTAGATATTTAGACATTAAAATTTAGGACTGTCTAAAATGGCGAATTCATTCCTAATTTTGTACCAAAGTCCAGACGAGCTCTTTTTAAAAATCGTTCCTTTACCCTAAAAGAAAAACAATTTATAATATACAGTGTGGTGATTTACAAATATTTTTTATATATATTCATTGCCAACGAAAATATTGAAAAATTTAAATTTTACACTTTTACTCAAATTTTTTTATTACGGTCCATTTTAGAGAACAAAAATTATAGAGAATGATATCGCAAATAACTTTAATTTAAACAATTTTCTTAAAAAAAAAAAATGAATTTTGCACTTTATAATCCATAAAGTAGAAAAACGACCCCCTAAGTACCCCCCAGATGTTCCGAGTATGCCCAAAATTTAATCAGTTTGCCGCAGGATGGATTAAAGATTTAAATTTAAAATTTAGCGTTTTTATCTTTATCCGTTTTAAATTTTTAGAGAAATTAGTATAGGATACGAATTATAGAAAATGCCAGCACAAACAACTGTTTGCACTTTTTGTCAAATTTCTCGTATTCGGACCATTTTAAGAAAATTATGTATAGGACAAAGATTATAGAGAATATTACAAGCAATTTTATTTGTAGAATTTTCTTCTCCAAGTGTAAATATCATATATTCCATAAAGTAAAAAACGACCTCATATAAAGTACCCTCCCAGATGTTCCGACTATGCCCAAATGTAATCAGTTTACCGCAGGATGGACTAAAGCTTGTTTAAAATTTGGCATGTTTCTCTGTATCTCGAGATCAAAAAAATCATGATTCCTATACTTTCCACATGTATATTATATTGTACTTACATGATTTCTTGTCTTTTAACCAATTCGTTAATAATAAATACTGCTAATGGAGAAATGGCTCCGAAAATAATGACCCAAAGAGGTATGTCAAATTCAATGTTCCTTCTCTGAGACTCTTTAAAATTGTTGAATATCAAAACTGTATAAAGCGACTGAACCGATATCCTAAAATGCATAAACTAAGTTACACCTTCAAAACAGATTTTTTTTAAAACTTACAGTATAAAAACGGCAATTAACCAATAGGAATTTCTGTGAGGAGATTTTTGGAAAAACAAATGGTCGCGATGAATAAAACCAACAGAGATCACAACTGAAAAAAATACATAAATTATATTAAATTTTAATCAAAAGAAACAATGTATAATTTATTGAAGTCCAAGGATTTTATTTCTTTCTAATTTTAACTAACAACTAATAATTCTTCAGGCTACATAACACGTTTTTGGAAACTTATTCGGATCGGAAAAATTATGAATCTTATTGTACATTTATCAATACTGCGGTTTCAAAATAATAGACAGTGAAAATTTCAAGAATGTCTAACGTCTAACAGAGTTGCCATATATAGAAAGAAAAATTTGTTGCACTATAAAAATTATGCAAAAAATACATAATTGTTACCATTATTATAATAAGATTATTTAATTATTTGTCTTGGAGGTAAATTGCAATACTAAAGTTTTAGGTACCTTACTTGAATGTAAAAATATAGAGACAACTTTAAAACTTACGTGCATTTTCGTTATTGTAAGAGAAAACGTGATAGTGCACTATTGGAAAAAGAGGAAATCGTTGTTTGGCGTACACACTATTTAAAGGAAATTCGTAGACATTGCAATGAGGGAAAAACATAAATACAAAAGTTTGGCAAGCTTTAGAAACAAAAAATCATAGATGCTTTCTTACAAGGGCTCTCTATGGGATTGAAATCACCTCCGGGTAAAGGACGTCGTTTAATAATTATGCATATTGGCAGTGATACCAGGTTTCTGGAAGATGAGCTTAATGTTTTTGAATCGCAAAAACCGGGGATTATCACAAAGACATGGATGCAAATGTATTTCAAACGTAGTGTTAATCTACTCTATTTTAATTTTATTTATTTTCGAGGATCCGTATTTTATTTTTTACTTCCCTCCATAAAAGGGAAGTATTGTCAAAAGTCACCTTCCGAGATTATTTTAGACTTTCACGTTTCAGGGTCCCTAGATTACGAAAAACATGTTTCCCCATTCTGTTTGTCTATCTGTCGTCCTTCTGTCTGTTGGAGCTATAGCTCAAAAAGGGCTTTGTAGATTGTAAGGTCGAGTAAGATAGACGTGTTTAAAATTGCTCTTTAAAACTGCTGATTTATAGTGCCAAATAGTGCAAGTCTATTCTTTTTGGTATTGAAATGAAGCTCAAAGTATAAAGCTCAAAGTAAGCAGGTGATCATAATAAAACAACATTTTAACAGTTTTTTAAACCATTTAAGTGCATTCTTGTCATTTATTTCTTGTCCAGCAAATCGGCAAAGAAATAAAACAAAAAAATTATTATCTGCTTTTATCTACATTGACAAAAAAACTAGTAATTACTGATAATGAACTAGGTTTTGCGTTTAAGCAAATTGGAAATAACAGTGGCGTCTCGTCAATATGGAATCCAAATTTAAGTGCTGCAGCAACAAAGAATTTAAAAACTATTTTTGTATTTAATGTTTCAATGTTTTCCATCCAAGCTGCCTGGAAAGGGATTATAGCAAGGCGATAAAAATTAAAAAACAGAATATACTTTGTTTCGTCGAATATCAGAATGAAAATTAAAATAAAGAAGAAAAAGAATTCAATAACATAGTCGATGAACAAAATGACATTATTGTGACGCGAAAGCAGTCTCTCTTCCTTGTTTACTCCTTGTCTGCGGTATGAAGTCTAGCGCTGGCCATATAGAGACAAACGCACCGTTTCGAGAAGCTACCGGATAGATCCCTTTGCGGCGTATGAGACATAGAGAGGCAGTTTTTGATCGTTCTGGAAAGCCGAGAGTGTTCTGGTACAGAGCTGGCTTTATATAAATAGCGCGAGTTTGTCGACGGACAAGAAGATTACATTTAAGTGTTGGACAGAAAAGATAAATCATAATAAATAAATTAGAATTGTGTTATAATAGTGCCTAAGTATTATATAAATTAATTAGTATGTTATAAATTATAAACAAAGTGTTAAATAAATAAACTATAAATAAATTAAACAAACGTTACATTATTAAGACACTACAGGACAAAAATGAGGCGCTAACTAATAAAAACTTAGAAATATTAAGTGATACTGAAGAAAGAAACTCTACGTTAATGAAATTGAAGAATGACCTAGGGGATCTAGAACATGTAAGCAGCGGCATGGTCAATTCAATCAGATTATTTAAAGAAGAAATCGAGAGGTATAAGACAGCTGGACTTAATTAAATTGGAAAATGCAGAATTTCAAAACAAAATAAGATGTTTAGAAGAAGATCTGGGACAATAAAAAAGTCAGTTACAAATTCTAAACAATAAAAATAAAAGTGCAAAAAAGCTTCAAAATGTTCAAAGCAACATACACAAACTTTTGGTTGGAAATGATGGATTAAAAATATCTAACAAACCTCGGTTTCAAGTTGCAAAACTACAAAATTTGTTCTAACTTAAAGTCAAAAATTACACTATCCTGTAGTAATAATCCAAATCTAATCTATATAAAAACAAGTTAGCTAGATAATAATTATATAAATAAAAAATAATAAAAATAAAAATGATGTTGATAATAAGATATTAATAATAATAACGAGGCTTTCCTTATACTTGATGATTTCGAAAGTATAGGTAATACATTCAAGCGAACACTAATTTTTTAGACCAGGAGAATATAGAAATCCAAATAGAGTAGCCGATTCTAAAACTATTGACTATTGACAACATTTTATACACAAATTGTGAAATTACTACCGAAAAGGCAAAATAATTATTTCAAATTTGACACCATGAACTTTTTAAGTTTCAGTATTTTATCAAAGAAAGTGAAATCAGATTTTAGTATTTCGAAATTAACACTATCATTACGCTATGGGCCATTATGTACGGACTACTCGGTGTTTATTTAATATTGAGATATCATATACAGCGAATATCATACCATATATGACGTACCAACACTTAAAAAAATGGTAACTCGCCACGGTAATACCTCAGAGGTGGTTTGGAAATGTACCATGAATAACGGCCTCACTTTAATTGAAAAATTTGAAAATAATTTTTGTATTTAATTAAAATGCATATTTGCCGTATATCTGTAAAACATTAAAATTGCCCGCCACTGGAAATATTTCCTTCTACCCCGTAAGCTCCGAAAATTTCGACAAATTTTGGATTTGTGATAGATGTCAGCATTCCCCTACACATTCCTGAAATTTTACCTCTGTCTCTTATTTTGAAACCGTAGTATAGGGGTACTAACCCTACCCGTGTTCGAAATCTAATGGATTTCTGATCCAGTCTATGTAAGAGGATAACATTTTGGCTACATGCCCATTTTGCGACTTTATTAGTCAGACTACAAATTTAAAAAAAATATGAATCTTTTAATTAAAATAGTTCTTAAACAAATAAAGGTTTATAACATTAATGTTGCACGATAAAAGTCAAAAACATTACCCATATCTGACATATATTATACGTAATTGTACTTACCAAAGTGCAATAAAATAATAAAACTTATTATTAATCTAGCTACCAGAAGAGTCCACTCATTTTCATCCCACCCTCCCATTGACACGGTTTCTGTCAGTATAACGGGGTTATAGAAAAATGCACAAGTACAGTTAGGCAAAACGGTGCATATTTGATCACAATGACTAGTTAAGATGCCGATATAACAAATTAAAACGACTATAAACGTCAACACAAATTTCGACCCATAACACCACAGGATAAATACTGCTGCCTAAAAAAAAATATAACAAATAGGATATTTATTTTTAAATACAATTAGGTACTAATACTTACATGCCAATTTGTTAAATTTTGGTTTTTTCCCTGAGGTTTCTTCATGACATCTTTATCAATCGGTTTCGCCATCAAAGAAATACTTATTAATGGTACAACCAAACACGAAAACCATAGAACCTGTCCTGTCGTAAGTAAACCCGGCAACATCAGTATTGTCGAAACTACTTGTAGTAAGCTTAAAGCTATACAACAGCACAACCAAAATTGACCTAGAAATAATTGGTTATAGTAATGGTTTAAAGGTAGAAAAAAATAAAAAGCTCCTTCATATCTCACAAAGATTTGTATTTAATACTGCGACCAGTTTCGAAGTGTGATCACTTCATCTGGTACGCCTATTGGGTAAGAGAAAAAATCGGTAAAGTATTTTACCCAGAACTTCGATCGAAATAGAAATTGCAAAGAACGTGACGAAGAACACCAAGCGGGCACGAAATGAGAATTCGGGTCAGATCAAGAGGAAAATCGAGAAAAACCTTTTTCACCGTTATTGAACGATAATGATTGGCTGCTTTTAAAGTGGCCCAGTTGCACAAACTAAAAGGACGATTTTTATTATTTACACTCAAGGGGGACCTTTTTTAATTCAATACGATTCCTTTTAACGCCATTTTGAAGTTTTTCCCTAAAGCCATTTTTGAGATATCGTGCCAACAGACAGACAGACCGTCAGAATGGGGAAACATATTTTTCGTAATCTAGGGACTCTGAAACGTGAACATTTTAAATAATCTCGGAGCAAGATGAAAACGATAGAACAATGATTTAATTTAAGAGACATTAACAAAACTAATACACTAATATTATTAATATTTATTTATTCATACCAACAAAATTAATCAAATTAATGTAGTGACTGAATGAAAAGGTGAAAAAATTGCTAACGAATATTTAAAAAAATGTTGGAATAGTAATCACCGTAAAAATGGTAATAACCTAGAAATGACTAAACAATAAAATATAGGATAATTACAAACTCTCCATGATCTCTTATCCACTAGGAATAAAACTACGAAATAACATTTTTTTGCGAAACTGAACATTTTATTTTTAAAAACATTGGTAATAGTCAAGGGTTAAAAATAATTAAAAATACGTGTGGCACTCCGGGACTGCCGCGGTAAAGCTATTGCATAGCATTTTTTATCAACTCATGCAATTATAATTATTTATTTTATTTATGCAGTATTTATTTTTCTTTGATATTAATTCAAGTTTTTTCTTTGATATTAATTCAAGTTACACTTTTTGAGCGTGGTGACCGATAAGAAAACAAATTTTTTTCTTTTATTGAATAAATGAGAAGTTAATATTGTTTAAAATATTTTTATTATCTTACAATACATGTAGGTTATTCAGGAATTTTTATCATTGAAACTATAGGTTTATGGTAACTGAAATAAGAAACCATAAGTTTGAGACTTGATATCCTCTAAATATCTGGAAAATACCGCGTCAATGGTGGTCCCATATTTGGTTGTGGATTCTTGTGGATCATTATTCATTTTCAAATTAAATTTTTCCGAAATTGTGTCTAAAAGAGATAGAATCAGTTATGAGCAGTTAGCAGCTAGTCTACACGCATACGTCTAGTCGCACGCACACAAACACCGTGCCGAAGTCTGCCGAACTGAAACGACGTTAGACGATGCACGGCTTTCAACGCCGCACCGCTGTGCCGGTCGGAGTGGGGGGGTGTTAGGTTTATTTTCGTTACGGAATTTCTTTTTCGATTTTTCGATTATTTTTCGGTTTTTCGATTTTCTTTTATTGAATAAATGAGAAGTTAATATTGTTTAACGCCGCACCGCTGTGCCGGTCGGAGTGGGGGGTGTTAGGTTTTTTTTTTGTTACGGAATTACGGAATTTCTTGATTCGGTCGCCGCGCTCAAAGCCCGCGATAAAAGCTATGCAATAGCTTAAAAAGTAAAACGTCACATGATAAAAAAAACTTTTGTTCTAAAAATATATGAGCCTACATTACAACAATGAGTTTAATAAAATTAGGTACAAGATTTTTATTGTTTAAGAAGCAAGATGGATACTGAAACTGAACAACAATCGGTTTGAATGATTTAAATTTGAAAAACAAACAATTTAAGTTTTAAAGTGTTGCCTTCCAGAGAGTGGCCAAACTAGTAGTTTAAAAATGATTTTAAAAATTGTTTAGTGTACAAACGTTGTATGAAGATATTATAGTAGGATAACGTTATGGACACTGATTTAAATTTTCCTATCATAGGGAACATTTTTCTCTACCTTACGATTCTGGTTTTGGCCACACAGGAAGTTGGACGGTTAATAATTACCTTCATCACTGCCTTCGGACATTATCAATAATGAATATCTTAATTTAAGTATAAATGGACTTTCAAAATAAACGGCACATATACAAGGGCGGCTCCAGGGACATGGGGCATGGGAACCATGTCTCCCCGAGATGAAAATTACTTACAATTTATGAGCCTTTCATTCAAAAAAATATGCTAAAAAGGGAATGGCTAAAGGAAATGCCCCCCCCCTCCCCAAATTCGTCTTGGAGCCGCCCTTGCACATATATAGGGTGTTACATTAAGAATAGGATATGAACAACTGAAGATTATCTGGTTCAAAATGAGGTGAATAAACGAAAAAACAAGCTTAGATGAAATGTTCTGAAATACAGGATGTTAATATACAAGTTAAAAATTGAAAAATGAATAACGAGTGGGTACCTATAATTTTACTAAAATCGGCAAATGTATTTGGTGTTATAAGATACACCTGTAACAGCAGAAAAATCAGTTAAATTTAAATAAACTTTGCTAGTGGCATTAGGGTTGCCAAACGTCCTGATTTTAACAGGTTTAATGAGTAAAATATTTATTCAGAAATTGGGAACATTAGAACATTAAAAAGCCATTGTAGAAAATACTAACATATCTGATTAGATAATTAACTTGACATAAACCTTCATGGCTCATGTCGTTAAGTGCCCAACTTTGGATTTTGCAACCTGGGTTCAGTTATCAATAAAAGCTCTTTGGTCTATCAATTTTATCTTGAGCTTGAGTGTAGCCGAAGGGTGAATCACTCCGAAATACTGGTACGTTATCACTTAAAGTCACTAAAATTTTTCTCGAAATTTCCGAAATCACTTCTCTGCTCAAAAATATAAATGCAGCAGCTTGTGTATCAAAAGACACCGGAAAAGTGCAAAAAAATTAAGAGGTATTTTCGGCGAAATTACCTAAATCATATAAAATCAGTTTAAAGTGATTTCCGAAATACGGGTAAGTTTAGACTTTAGTTGTTGACCCGAGGAACTAGAGCATAGCTATTGAAAACTTATTAACAAGGTGATTTTGTTTCAAAGCCCTGAGCCAGTCCGAGAAAATCAAAAATCAAAATATATTTGGAATTCACTAATATATCCATGATTGCTGACTTTTTTAACATTTGTTCCCCAGTGTTATGGATTGATTTTTTCCAGATTAATGATTTCCTTGGTCCTTAACTCAATTTCTTGATAATTTGGTAGAAAAGCTTATTCGAATTTTGAAAACTAAATAATCGGCTATTTTTAGGGTTATAAACTTTTCCAACACCAAGTTGAGGCATAGTCATTTGTAAAAGATGCTATTAAGTCCAATTAGAGGTACTTAGATTATAGGAAACATTTTCAGAAACTTATTTTCCATTTTTGTCCTCTATTTTCAACTTTTCAATTAATTCATTATTATTATTTATTGTTTATTTTATTGACTAACTCGTACATAATCAAACTATTGACTGAAGTCCTTCTTCACTTATATCACCTTCATCCAAATTGTAATTATACGGTTTTGTCATTTTTATGTTTAATTTGTTGTCTTATATCATGAATCAGTTATTTTTAAATAAATAAAGATATGTTTTTAACCGACTTCAAAAGAGGAGGAGGTTCTCAATTCGTCGGCATATATATTGTTTTTTATGTTCAGCGATAATTCTTTAACACGGTGTCCGATTTCAATGATTCGTTTTTTGTTAGAAAGGGGGTACTTCAGGCGTGTTCCTATATAAATTTGACCAAAATCTAATAATTAGGTCCATGAGAAAATCTTCAAACTTTTCATTGTTTATGTGTTTAGTGATAATTCTTTACCACCTTGTCCGATTTCTATGATTCTTTTTTTGTTAGTAAGCGTGTACCTCAGGGGTGGTCCCATATAAATTTGGTCAAGATGTGAATCTGCACGATTTTGAAGTCGATTTTTTTAAATTACTTTTAATACTTGTAACTTTACTAGTAGAGGTAGGGCGCAATTATATATTAGAGGCCACGAGCCTCATCAAAAAGAAGATGTAGAGGGCGCATCTGCATATTATTAGAAATTGTCTACTTCATAAGAACTTTCTTGAGTTATCGTGGATAAAGACATACAAACAGAAATTATCACGAAAATAGATAAAACGAAATTAGGGGACCCAAAAATTTATATATCAGTCAAAAACTCGATGTGGAAAAATCATGATTCCTATACTTTCCTTACTGATTACAGGAAAGTTAAAATTAAATATAAGAGTTAATAGATAGTACGGTTTATATACGAATTGGTATTTGCACCATTGATAATATGTAGGAGTTTGAAGAACTTCAAATATGTGTAAATCTTACATATAAACCCTAGTACATATCTATTAATAATTATGATATTTATTTTTTTAAACAAATTTCGAATCATTCCACTTGTAATTTAATTTGACCTAAAACCACATAATTTTACCAATCATTTAATTTGTTCATATTTCAGATGGTTTTTCAGCCGAAACCAGTTGTCTACATTTTTTAATAAAATATCGTATGGTACGGATTTTGTTTTCTTTCTCATACTTTTCTTTTTATTTGAAAATCGATTTATGATTTCGTCTATATCTAATTCTATATTTTAGTGGATTAAACCGTTAAGGCGATCTTCTAGCACGTTAGATCTTAGGTAAGTTTTAAATGTGGTCATCTTTTAAAAGACCAAGAGTAGAGACTTGTTACAGAAATTGTTGATGTACAAAAAATTTTAAGATTTTTGTATATCATTTGGAAAATAATAGGAATCCCAGTTTTGGAAATGACGCCGTTAAATACATTTAGACAGAATGTTACTTTCTATTATTTAGAAAGGCTCCAGGGCCCCCCGCGTCCACTCCATAAATCCGCCAGTGATTCCTAATTGAATTTACTTGTAATAAATCTGAATAATCAATAATGACATCAACAATACAAGTTTTGATGCTATATTATCAAGTATTTTCGGACCCATGTTTATTGAACTTTGTTTTATTGAATTACCATAATTTCTCTGTTAGCAATTATTTTCCGACTCATGTTTATTGAACTCTCTATGAAATCAATTGAATACTTATTTAAAAAACAACACATGTCCAAAAATGTCTGAATTGAGTTAATTGTGACAATTAGTGGCTAATTGTTGTATTTACCTACAAAAGTAAAAAAGAAACAGACATTTACTGTCAAATACCTAGCGTTTCCGTAAAGTTTAATAGGACTGATATGTTTTTGTGTTTCCTGAAAACAGTTAATTTTGGACGTGCCGTTTTTGTAAAAATTACTACAATCCTGAACCAATATTGTATGTAGGTCCTATTAAAACAGGCAACATTATACACAATCAGTCTAAAATCTACTGTAGAGATTGTAACTGACCAGCAAGTAAAATCGTTACTTGAATCATTGTTTCAGTAGATATTAATCGTGGTTTCCTCCAATAACTTTAACAATGGGATTATCCTACTATAATTCTTCATAAAATATAATAAAACTGGATGGACTTTATTTGTTTAGTTTGATGAATTAAAATAATTTGTGGTTAAAAAAGAAATAAAACATAAAAGTGTACCTGAATTCCAAATTGAGGCCACGAAATTTCTCGATTCCATTATCAATCTATAAACGGGAAGTGTGCAATCTCTACGAATCGATAACGAACATGGTATCGAATTCAGCTGTACCGAAATGTCAATAGGACCTAAACAGTTGGTTGGCCTCTTAAAAGGTTGTATTTTTTTGCACACTTGGGGATACAGTGGTTCAACTGAAATGCTAAAATACATTTTTAATTAAATTATATATTTAAATAAGTTGATAATTCATTTTTATAAATTAATTTTTTAAAATTACCCCTATGAAGCATTGAACACTATTTTTGAACCCTTAAACTGAAAACAAAGGACCCGCACTTTTCTTATGTAAAGTAGCAACCGGTCAAATTTTCTGAAACTTTGGTATGTTGCTGTCAACCTAGTAACCAAAAGTGACAATGGGCCCAACTCAATCTTATGACTAGTTTTTGATATTTTATTATACAGGATGTACGTTATTTTTGTACTTTTCTTAAAATAGAATACCTCCCAACAAATAAATTACCCTGTATATTTTAAAGCTTAGTGGTACACATATTTAAATAATATTTAATACCTTTCCCAAAAATCAATTCATAAGTATAGGGTTTTAAATTATAACTTAAAATATATAATTATATGTTGTGGTTCTCTCTATAAGAAATGTATACCACGCAATATTTTGTCGCCAAAATTAGAGATTAAACGACTTACCTTAAGGAAGTTCAATTCTCAATTATACGAGATAGCCACGTCCGAAGAGATCACATAGGTAGTCTTGTTTCTTATCGCTTTTGCTCGTATTGTTGAAAGAAAAGTGTGAATCATGTACATGACCGTCCCGCTGATATGCCGATAGCTATTCATTACAGTCGTTTTGGAGTGCTTTGTAGTTAAGACAACTGCAAGGGTTACGTCTTCAATCGGGCGGGTTTTGGGTGTGATCTCTTCGGACGTGGCTATCTCGTATAATTGAGAATTGAACTTCCTTAAGGTAAGTCGTTTAATCTCTAATTATACTTCGATAGCCACGTCCTCGAGATCACATAGGTAGATGTTTAAAGAGAATCTGCAGTTGTCGGACTAATTATATAATTCATATTAAAAGAGAAGGTATGATGTTCAGTATCAAAACTTTTAATGTAAATAAACACTTAAACTTACATGAATGTGAACAACTATAATAAATATGGAATTAATGTAATTAATTATTAATTAAATAACATAAAGTATTATAATGCCCACAATGTACAAAAATAATATAGTATATAAATCGATATGAGAATAAAATAAAGACGCATAGTTACAAGCAGATAGTTATTTTTGCGATTCTAGTACACATTTTGCATACCCGTTATCGTTAACTGGCTTGTTATAAAATTTGAAAAACACGTTTGATCTTTCCGACCATCCGGCTGTTTTCCGAATGTTATCAATGGTCATGCCTTTCTTGAACGCATAAGATGTTGAGGCATGACGTGTGCTGTGACTTTTGTATATTGATGTGTCAATCCCCGCTGACGCTAATCCTATTTTTATCCATTTGCTGATAGTCTGTGCGGTTGCCGGATGGTGCGGTCTCTTGAATGTCACTAGCAATTGATCCCAGCTTCCCCTAAGACTTTCAGTAATTTTGATGTAATGTGTGAGTGTGGATGCCACGCACAAATTGGTCTTTGTCTTAAAATATGGTAGTAATAATTTAGGTTGTGTTTTGTGAGGAGTTGATGTTTTTAAAATATCTGTTATGTTTACTTCTATCCTGTCATCAAAATACGTGATGTTAGATAGTTTAATTTTCGATATGGTTTGTACTCTTTGTGCTGTGGCTAATGCGAGTAAAACGACTAGTTTAATGCTAAGGTTTTTGAGATTTAAGGCTTTCAGCGGTGAAAGTGTTTCCAAAAAATTTAACACGGGTCCAGGGTCCCACGTTTCGCTGTATCTGGGAAACTGAGGCCGTGACCTAAACACGCCTTTTAAAAATCTATTTATAATTTTTGTCTCAAAATTTAGAATTATGCCTAAAGCTGACTTATGTGTATTGATTGTAGAATAAGATGCACCAGAGTCAAACTCATTTTGTAAAAAACCTATTATTTTATTTTCATTTGTTTTATAAACATCAACTCCTTTACAAAACTTCCACCATTTTTTATATGTCGAATTATATTGTTTTAAAGTGCTGGGACTCAGTGAAGCCAGGATCATACCTGTTGATTCTTCAGGGACTCCATTTCTTAAATACACTTCCCTGATAATCTGGTTGCACCCAGGGTAAGCGTCTTCCAGAGAGGGTGTGGTTCTCTGTAAGGAGATAAGAGTAAAGACTCGGCAGGCTTCATTATTATTATATCGGATATTCTGATTTTTTCCATTACTGGAAACCAGGGTTGTGTTCTCCATATAGGAAAAACCAGAATGCCTTCAGCTTTGTCTGTTAATATTTTATTTATGGTTCTTGTTAAAAGAGAAAATGGTGGAAAGGCATAGAACTCTAGGTGTCTCCAATCCAAAGTAAAAGCATCTGTGAAGTCAGACGCTGGATCCGGGTGCCATGAGACAAATTTTTCACATTTCATGTTTAAATGCGAAGCAAATAAATCTATTTTAGGGGTGCCTAAGTGTATAAAAATTTTTTGTACCATTTTTTCGTTTAAGCTATACTCTATTTCATCATTACAAACTCTAGATTCACGATCTGCTATGATATTTTCTTTGGAGTTGATGTAAGAAGCAAAAATCATAAGGTTGTTGTTCTCACACCATCTCCATATTTTATTTGTTATTTCGTTTAGAACAGGAAATTGAATTCCCCCCATTCTGTTTATATATGAGATTGCAGTGGTATTATCTACCCTCAATAAAATGTTAATGTCATTAGAATGTTTTGTGAAAGATCTGAGCCCATTATAAACTGCAGCAAGTTCCAAATAATTAATATGCATGTGCCTTTCACTTTTGGACCAAGGGCCTCGGGTTGCCAAATCGTTGCAAAAGGCACCCCATCCAGTAGGAGAGGCATCTGTAAATATTGTGAGATCATATTTTCTTTGACCTAACTCGTTTTTACAGTTTTTATTGAGAGAAGACAACCACCACTGCAAATCTTTTCTGTTGTGATTAGATAAACTCGTGTTTGCTTCAAAATTACCCCTGTTTTCCCTGAGTGCCAAAAATTTGTTTCTTTCTAGGCTTTTTGTGTACCCCCAACTATATTTAACTGCCGGACAATTAGACACTAGAATTCCGATTACTTTGGCCAGGAATCGAATCGAGACATGTTGTCTGTTTAAAAGAGAGACTATTATATTTTTGCAATTTTCTTTTTTATTGTCTGGTAAGGCAATTGTCATATTCACGCTGTCAAACATGAATCCCAGAAATTTTATTTTTTGTTTAGGAAATATCTGACTTTTTTGTTCATTTATGATAAAACCTAAAGATGTAAAAATATTAACAGACATTTTTACATTCCTGCAACATTCTAAGTCAGTTTTTCCCAACAAGAGAAGATCATCCAGATAAATAGTGGACACACAACCGTTGGTTCTTAAAAAACTGATTATAGGTTTTAAGAGTTTTGTAAAGGTATATGGGGCTGTTGCCAGTCCAAACGGTAAGCAGACAAATTCATATAGTTTGTTGTTGTATTTAAATTTTAAATATTTCCTTGAAGTAGGATGAACAGATACTAAGAAGTATGCATTTTGTAAATCTAAATTAGCCATAAAACAATTTTTTGTTATTAAATTTTTAACCGTTCGGTAATCTTCCATTTTAAAATGGGGAACATTAATGAATTTATTAAGGGCTTTCAGGTTTAAAATGAACCTGTTTTCCCCATTGGACTTTTTTCTTAAAAAATAAGGTGAGATGAATTCTCCCTTACAATGTTTTGAGTTTCTAATTGCTCCTATTTTTAACAAGTCACTTATGGATTTTGAGAGGTCTGCAGAGGGGTTAGTAGGAGCAATTTTCTTTTGTTTAGATTTGGTTTGAAATAAAATTTTATAACCTCGTAGTAAATTGAGTATGTTGCTATCGTTTGTAACCTTTAACCAGTTTTCGTAAAACAACTTTATTCTACCAGCACATTTTACCTCTAAATTCGTTTGTGTTGATAATGTTGCTTCTTCTGTTGATATTGTTGCTTCTTCTGTTGATAGTGTTTTTTCTTCTGTTGTTCCGGTTGCGTCTGCCAGTTCTTCTTGCTGTTCACCCCCCCCCCCTCTCTCGAATGTCTTTGTCTTCTTGAAAGGAGGGCGTTGCCAGTTTAAATGTTTGGGATATGTAGGAGGTTTATTTATCCACTCTTTGGCTATGTTCTCGAGTGTTTTTGCTGCTTTGCAATTTTCGTCCAAGTTAGAGCCAAACAGAAATTCATCAATGCCTTGCTTTTCTATTACTTTTTGTATTTTTGGAGTTAAATGACTTTTAAGTTGGTGTCTTCTATGTGTGGAAATCGTATGATGAGTATCTGTTATTAATTTTCCGGCATCCACTATCGCCGTTACAAGTTTTTCATCATGTTTCTTGACATCTGTCAAAACTGTCGAAATTGCTGCTCCTAAAGCAGTAAGTCCCTTTCCCAACATTTCTTGAGTATTCTGAAGAAAATTTTCCTTTTTCAGGTCCAGTGGGGCCAAAAAAGTTTGAAACTCGGGATTTAATTTTGGAGCTTTTAAGGCTAAGCAGTTTTTAGGCGTGTTCCAACGATTTATCAATTCGTGACGTTCCTCTTTTTCTATTCCCGTTGTCAGGTAACTTTTCCATCGGCACGCAATTTCCTCGGCGATCTCAGGGCCGTCTGTGATCTCTTTATTCGGATCTACCCCCAGAAGATTTTGAATGTCATCTGGAGGCACCTCTAAATCTGACTCATCCTCGGATGAAGAGGCACTGCTAGAGGTTGACGAGCTACCTGTAAAAGGTACACTATATTCGTAAGTTGAAATGTTACCATTTTTGTATCCAAATTGAATGTTTCTTAATATAATAATCATTGTTTTTATATCTGTTAAAGTGGTATTGTTTTATTTTCGAAATGAAAATAATGATGATTAAGGTGCGTGACTAATCTGCATAGTATTAGATAAATACTCTTTATAACGTGTTTGTTATTCATTTGACCATTTTCGGAGTGAAAATGATATTTTTTTTTTTTTTTTTAATTATTTTGTAAGGAAAAGTAATGATTAGGTAACTAACTATTCTTTAACATATTATTATTCTTTTACTAATTTTCGAAGTGAAAATGATATTTGTTACGATATTTTCTTATTTCCGAAATGACAACGATCAATTTCGTAACAAAATGATAGTTAGCTAGTTAACTATCTGTTTTATTTGACCATTTTCGGAGTGAAAATGACATTTATTGTACTTTATTAGGTATAATGCCTTAATCTTTTTCGAAATGAGAAAGAAAAACATTTTATATTTCCGAAATGGAAATGATATTTGTTCAATAATTTTCGAGGTGAAAATTATTTTTTGTAAATAGTTAAAAATTTGGCCACATATTTATTGATTTTGAAAAGGAATGATTCTTTTTTTTTTTTTTTTTTTTAAATATGTTTTGTACTATTAACTTTTACTTACTACTGCTTGAAGATATTTCCTGAATTTTCTTCTCTATTTTCCTCATTTTCCTTTTTAATGTATTTAGTATATCTGCTTTTCTTTTTCTTCCCATTATTTCACTGTATCACTGAACCAAAAAACGCTAACGTAAATATTCACAACCGAACAAAGCGACGTAAAAACAAGTAATGAATAGCTATCGGCATATCAGCGGGACGGTCATGTACATGATTCACACTTTTCTTTCAACAATACGAGCAAAAGCGATAAGAAACAAGACTACCTATGTGATCTCGAGGACGTGGCTATCGAAGTATAATACTATATTGAGTAGTACTCCCTGACGTCATAGTAGAATTAGTGAGTTTTTGTGAAAACTACCATCATACATTTGTGAATAACTTTGTAATTAAAATATTTTTAATAGTACGTATATACTTATGTATTACTAAAACATGTTGTAAACGTGTTTATGCAACAAAAATTCAATCTAGCTCATAAGGTTAAAAATAAAAAATCCGAAAAACTGGACAATTTTTACCTTTAACACCCCCGTATATCAAAAACTAGTCATAAGATTGAGTTGGGCCAATTTACACTTTTGGTTACTAGGTTGAGTACAACAACATATCAAAGTTTCAGAAAATTTTACCAGTCGCCACTTAACATAAAGAATAGTGCGGGGTCCCTTATTGAAAATCTCAACATTCGCGTCTTACGCTCGCTGCGTTAATTCGGACTAAGTACATTTATTGATGTGATAGCAGAGTTCGTAAGAATATAAGGAATATCAGTCATGTCATTAGCAAGTGACATTTAATAAGACGGCTGGCTGTGTCTTCCAAATTAAGATTTTCAGATATATACTAAACAGAGTTTTAAAATAAATGTGATTCCAGTGGCGTTCCGTTTTTAGCTAAATATTCATCTAAAAAGAAGTTGGGGTCAAAAGGGTGTTGACCCCTTCTTAAAACCCATAAAAAATGAAAATAAATTAAAACGAGCACTGAGTATTTATATTAGTATCCCATATCATAAATTAATGTTTTTGTAAGCACTTTTGTAAATAGCTGTAAGGTTCACTTGACTTATTTTAGACCCCAGAATATGTAGTATAATTTGTAATCAATCTTTTCGGGGCACATATTATAATGCCTACCTACAAATTACCTCACCAATTAGCGTCCTCTCCATCGCCTTAGTGCTAGTGCAGCAGCCATCAAAAAAACTACTCAGTAGAATCTGATCCCATACCCTATCAGCACTACCAATCACCTTTCAGTCTAGTGAGAGTATATTACAACCTCCGTAGAAGCAAAAGAGACCACCACCACCACCACCGTAGAGATAACAGCAAGGCAAGTCCAGATATATATGTATTTGGAAATTTCAACACTTTAAGAAATTTCGTAATTGTTTTTTATTGATATGAATAAAACTGTTAAATTTTCTTGATTGTTTTTTCATTACAACGGTATACTGTGATTCCTTGGAGAGTAAAAGAAACAGTCCACTATTAACAGATGGCGCCCAACTTTTCCTTCGCTTAGTTGTTTTTTCTTTCTTGTTTCGGGGTAAACGGTAACGAGATTGCAGATAGTTTTGCAAGGAAAGGAGCTTAAACACCCTTTGCGGGACCTGAGCCGTTCTGTTGTATCAGCAATACAATATTAGGAGAGATTAAAACAGAATTGGACAATGGAAGAACTGATAATTGAAACAATATTTTGGGGCTAAAATACTTCTGAGTGAACATAACCAGAAGCCTGTATCTGTTTGAGCAAGAACAGGCTACGCATTGTAACAGGGATCTTTACTGGGCATTGCCGACTCAAAGGACACCTTAGTAAACTGAGAGTAGTAGAATATAGTGAACGCAAATATTCTGTGAGGAGGACGAAACCTTTAGTCATATTCTGACTTAATGAGGAGGAGGACGAAACCTCCAGTCATATTCTGACTTAATGAGGAGGAGGACGAAACCTCCAGTCATATTCTGACTTAATGAGTAGCACTCCAAAATCCAAGGGCACTATACCTAAGAGCATATCAAATAGAAGAGGGGAGTTACCTAACTTGAAGCCACTCCATATCCTACACTTCCTTGAGAAGATTGGAATGGTCGTTATAGATATCGAGACATTTCCTTGCCGGATCAGCGACAGAGTTAATGGTTTCTCTTAAAGAACAATGTTTTTTCATCGGAACTCAAATTAGAATTATCTCTATCTCATCTCTATATCATCTGTCTCTCTCGCATGCGTGTTCGCGTGTACGTGTGTGTGTGAATCAAAATTAAGCTTTTGCGAGAATAAGAATTATTTGATAACTTTTATTTTGATAAATTTTATTTTTTTCAAAATAAGCATGATATGTTACTCATTTTTAAGTAAAAGCAATTTTATTACTTAATTTTTATTCACACTACCCATTAGATAGACATACTTACATACAATTTAAATCGAATTTGTAATTCTAAAAAAAATTGTCCAAAGTAAATAATTCATATTTTTCGACTATACATTTTGATATCTGAAGGTTGTTTCACTTTCAGCATTAAAGCATGGAAAACTGTTTAGAGAGAGTAATATTTATAATAAAAAAAGTTCCATATGCATTTATTTTAAGTAGATGCAATGTACATATTTCAATACATCACAGGAAATATCAAAGGGAAATGGTAACTAAAAGTATTGTTGTATGATCCAATATAAAATGAAAAATCCATTAATAATTAAAATTGTTTATACCTAATACTACTTACTACTTCTAAAACTAAACAATCTAATATTCTTTAAATATTCTTAAACGATTCTTACTACTCTAACTCTAAACGAAAATATACCAAACGCCGTTTTACCACAAAATGAAATAAGAGAACTAGTAAAACATGACAGTTTCAGTCATGCACATAGACATTTAAATTTGTTTATTAAATAGATATTCTTTGGTTTTACCTGGCATCTGCTTGCATGAAAACACCAGCATTATCACAGTTTTCAGCCGAACCCATTATACACACAACCTCTTGGTAGTCTTGCATAATTTGTAGCATTTCCCTAGTTACGTCTGGAGTACAGTCAGTAAAAAGAGACACTAAAAGAGGAACATTGTCAATTAGTTCAATATGCGGTCTAATTTTATCAATTCCTCTTGGCAATTTTGCCTAAAAAAAGAAAGACATCTAATTATTTAAATTCACCTACTGTCAATCTAAATAATTGAACATTTTACAAAATGCAGTAGCGCTTGGGCCAGTGGTTTTTTACCTCATAATATAAAACACATACTGTATATGTTAAATGTTTAGTAGTAATTTAGTTTATGTCAATCAAATAGATCACATTATCAAGCACCATTAAAATTAAACAAAGAATCCATGGTTAACTTACGATTATACAATCAAAGTCTATTTTGAATTATTCATACGGTTTCTACTTACCCTATTGCTCATATCAAAATTAATGGGTGCGCTGTGTTCGGTACTCTCGGTAAGATTGCTCAGCGACTGCCATTCATGAGCATTACTATCAGCTTGCAGAAGAATACTTTCTTGACTAGCCTCATCAATATCTTCCTCATTCGGTTCGCTCTGTTTTCGTTCAATATTGAATTTCTCCACTTCCTTTTCAAATTTTACTGTTGTGAATTCCATATTGATGGCACCTGGCGCAGAAAAGCTCATGGTTCTGGACGATTCAAGGTTACTGTTAGAAAAAAGTTGAATTAGCGGTTTAATACGTAATAAAATAACTATTATTTTTAGTTAATTATAATAGAATGACAATGCCAGCTGTTCCACCAGCTCGTCTTATGCTGTTAATACATAAGGACTTATGTGATACATTGTTATATTAATTATATACACACTTTTATTTAAACTATTTGTGATAAAAAAAATACAAAGTGTCAACTAAGACACTACCACTACGTTGTCTGTATAAAGGTATACAGACAATTGACACTACTAAAACATGGCAATTTCAGTCATGCGTATAGACATTTGTTCCACGAATCGTCCATTTAGATTCTTGGGTAGGTATTCTTTGGTATTAGTGCTGTCTGTATAGTATTAGCAATTGCAAAGAAAAGCATTAATACAAATAAGCAAGAAGAATTTTAATAAATAAAACTGAAGTGGAAAAGCAACTTAATATCAATATGATAAAAACAGAAAAATCATTTTCTATAAAATAATGTACATTTCGCATTCCTCTTTCCAATACTTTTAAATCCTACAGATAATAACACCATCAAGTCGTAACTATGTGAAATAAGTATTTACTCTTCTTAGCATGTAGACAGACAGACGTATTGTTAATTCAGAATGGTACACTACAGTTGTTTGCCTTTCTTTAAAAAGGTCGCAAAAACGTCCAAGAGGAAGGATCATCTTCCATCAAGATAACGCTCGGACTCACACTTCAGCTTGAACAAATGAGTATTTCAATAAAACATTCATCGTATAGTCCATACCTAGCAGCTAATGATTTTTTATAATTACGGAGGTTTACGTTTTACATCGACAGAAGAAGAGGTTGATGCCTTTAAAAATCATAAGCATAAACCCAAAAAGAATAATGAATCCATCAATAGATGGCACGGCAAGTCATTAGCATTGGTACCTAGCGACGGACAATATATGGCCAGAAGATTGTAGAAAATGTTTTCAAGAATGGTTTTCGCGGATGTAAAAATGCATTGACTGTAGAGAAGAATACTTTGAAAAATTATAATTTGTAAATAAATTGTTTTTCTTTCTAGCTCAACGGAAAGAGAACAGCCCAGCCCTCGTATTATATTGTTTGTAATTTGGATGAGGTGAAAAAAGTTCAGAAGAGCAAAGGGTTATTGAATAATACTAGGTCAACGTATAATAGTTGAAAAACCTTTTTATACATTTTATATTTTATAACATTTGTTTTGTTTGAAGTTCAAGGTCATAGTCAACTTTTAAGGTACCTCTTTAATATTTGCTAAGCGTATGTAATTTTCCAGATGACAGGTGTGTACACACTGGGTAATAACTAGCGGTAGTATTTAAAGTGTGTAGGCTAAGATTATATTGATGTAATCCTGTCGTTTTGTTAAAATAAGTCTAGCGCTTTCGGCTTATTAGGCCATCATCAGGACTACAAGTCTACAATAGATAATAAGTGTCAAAGACAAATATTTTTTATTATATATAACTTACTCGTCAGTTACAAAATAGCAGTGGATCCAGAAGACAAACAATTAATAGATATTAATCCCAAGATTAAATTATCCTAATAAAAAAATTAATAAAATTATAAATCTATATGTCCCATATTTTGGCAAAACTGCAACGAGTCTCGATAACCGCGATCATATACAATGCTGTCACCTTCTTGAAAAAATGAAAAAACTCCGTCCTCGTTAACAGCCTTAGCGTTAAATATCGACGAATCATTGTTTCTAGCATCTGAAGCATGCGAGCCGGTAACATCAATAATATATCCGTCTGGTGCTGTCACAACCGAGAATTTAACAAAATTCGAGCGTTTTGGCAAAGAATATGTTATTCGCTGAGAAAGATGATCAACAGGTTTTTCGTGGTAGAAGTATGGCATCAACAAGAGCTACCAATCAATCAGGATTAACGTGACACAAACGATTTGAGGTAGTGGTACTGTGATAAGTAGCGTATTCTTGACGAGTTATATGTTGGTAACCAAGATGAAGAGGAACAAAGTAAACTGTAAGTGAGTTAAGAACATCGTGGAATATTTCGCTAATACGATATTGTTGCTTCGGTTTCATGCCAAACATCTTGCTTAAAACTTTTCGAGTTGGATCATTTCTCAGTTTTATTAGAAAAATAGCTACGCAAGTTTTTTTTTGAAACTTGTCTTCTAGGTGTCAAGTTATTGCAGTTACCTACAGTCTGTTCGCTATACTTACGCGCGTTTCGGATTAACAAAATTATGCAAATTAGTCATTGACAACCAGTTCCAAGCCTCTTCCCAAGAAATTAGGTAAAATTGTCCTAATGGTCAGATTTAAATTAAAATAACATTAGGGTAGGTACTAAATTTGCATAATTTTGTTAATCGGAAACCCGCGTAAGTATAGCGAACAGACTATACAACCGTTGCAAACTGCGCTTTACTTAATCCGGTTAAGCACTTGTAATAGTCGTCATCCATATTTTCATTGTCAAAATCAAATATCTTGCTTTTTTCTTCAAGAGCTACTACGCGATCAGTGAGCAGATTAATTAAACATTCATTGTCACCATGAGTAAGCTGCCTAGGAGCAGCCCGCAATCACAATAGAGCAACAGATTCTTCAGAAAAGTAACCATTCTCGAAATGTTCCGGGCATGATATGTTCCCCAAGTTGCAAAATATCCGGTTTTGAATCCATAACTTGAGAACAGCTTCCCTTGAAATACGCTGCCGTCTAATAACACCGCCACGCAACAAGATCTTTGATTATTTGGCAGTTTGACCGGTACATTTCTAATGTTTTCACCATTCTCTTCACCATTTTCAATGTCTACCTCGTCGTTGTACACATTTTTAATGATGGGAATAGGATCTTGTTGGATATTAGGTTCTCTTATTTCACTGCCTTAAGAATAAAACAAATGATTTATTATGTTGCTACTATAAACATTGCTTACTCTACCATGTCGTCGAAACGTAGCATGGCATTGGGTGCAAATGCGCGAGTTTTCTCCAGGCTCTACCCAGTCAATTTCTCTGCGTGCTCGAATATTCAGTAGAAAGTGCCGGTAAAAATAAAAAGGTATTCTAATTAAATAATAAACGAATTGAACAGAGAATGATGCAATAAAAATATTTTCTAATTAAATAATAAACGAACTGAACAGAAAACGATATAATAAAAAAATATTCCAACTAATTAAATAATAAACGAATTGAAAAGAAAACGATTCACACTTTTTGTTATCAACAATAACAAGAAAATATCACTCCTGACAATTAGTCATAAAATAATTAAAACGAAACGTTGCCACATTGAATTTATTGACATTACTCGTTTCTAAGCATTTAAAAGATTTAATTTTTTTGTCAGAGACCGCCCAAATTTCCCTATCAAAAGCATACACTCCTTTAATAACAAAAATGACAAACCGCAAGACAGAGAACGTTGTAAACAAATACTGTCAGTCTTCAATAAATAATAACTTCAAAAGTTTATATCAGCACTAAATAGGCGTTTTCACACTGGGCGACACGACAACGATGCCGACACGATATCCGGCAGGTGATTTACACATTCAACGACACGGCACATGCAGTTGTGTGTCGTTCATTATGGCGGGTAGCAACAAATTATATTTACTCTATTTATTATATTTGAGGCGAAAGAAACGATGTAAGCAAAGGAATTTATGGTTACATCCGATTAATAAAGTGAGATTTTTAGACGGTACCTATTATTGTTTGAGAAGTTGGCTAATGACCCAAATAAGTTTTTAAATTATTTTCGAATGAGCAAAAATACATTTGACTACATATTGGAGAAAATAATTAATATGATCAAAAAGCAAGACACTGGATTTAGAATGAGCAAACCACCTGAAGAAATATTGAAATATTTTGATTTAAACTATTAGTAAATCAATGTATTTACATAAAAGAAAAACTTAGGGTTATTTTCTGATAAGAAATTAGCAAACTAATAAACATATCTTATTTTTTTAACAACAAATACACTAACTAATAAACAAAAAAAAACTATTCCGCAGTGTCATTGAATACTTGCTGATATTTGTTTGTCTCTCTGTAGTTCGTCAAAAATCTTTGAGAAAGCAACTATTTTGAACAGAAATCGCCACGACACGACTGCTTGCTCCTCAACGACATGTCGTTTCTTGCAACGACACGACACCGACAAGTCATCAAGTGTGAAAGCGTTCCTATTAATTACATGAGATAAGGCGTCCATCGACACCGTTGTCGTTGACGTGTCGTTGCCGTGTCGTCCAGTGTGAAAACGCCCAATGAGCGTTTTTAGACCAAACGACACGATACCGGCAACGATATGGGAGCGTGCAAAAATATATTAATGCAATGCAACGCTTTCGCACTTACCATCATATCGGCGTCATGTCGTTGCAGGTGCCGACATGTCGGTGGGTAGCAGCCTTCCCTATCGTGTCGTCGTGCCGGCAGTGTTTTTTTAACACTACGAGGGACAGGATATTATTTCTTAATTTTTAAAAACAAGAAACAAATAACATATTATTATGGCGAGTAACTTTAAATACGATGTGGTGACGCTTATAGAATTAGTCGAATCAAAACCTTGTATTTGGGACAAGACTAATGACAACAGCAAGAACAAAATATTGGGTGTCGTGCTTTCTAATTTCAGCACATAGATTCGTCAATATATAATCAAATGTATCCTTACTCATTCGAAAATAATTAAAAAACTTGTTCGGGGCCTCAACTAACTATTCAAACAATGTATAGAAGGTGCCCTCCAGATACCTAGTTTTGATAATAGAATGCACCCAAAACCGTCTTCGGTTTCTCTTTATTTTTCGCCTTAAGTACAATAAATATAGCAAATATAAATTGTTAACTGCTGGCATTATTATTTTTCTTTATAGAATATTATTATTTGGGTATGTTTATTATTTTTTATCAACCAAAAAAATCAGGCGATATCTCGGGACTGTATTGCCGAAAAAATTTTTTGGTGTGAAAGATCAATAGCCGATATCGTGTCGGTGTTGCTGTCGTCCGGTGTCGTGTCGGTATCGTGTAGTTAGGTCTGAAAACGCTCAATAACTTATCCTTTTTTTTGTCGTTGATTTAAACAAGGTAAGTCGAATTTAAATTCGAGTATTTCACACTGCCAAATATTCCGTTAGTGGGAAATTTTCAACAGGCCATATTGCAACGGCCTCGTGTGCCAGTAGCGTTGGTAAAAACTGGTTTGTAAGCTTTGGTCTATATTCTATCGAGCAAAGGGCTAACAATGTTGCCAAGATAGACTTGCTGACAATATTAAACTTAAATTTTGGGTGGAAAATAGGTGTTAAAACGGTTCGTCGCATTGAACGAATGCATTTTAATAAAATAACGGGATTATATTAACATAATCTTATCTTACACATTTTAATTCTACCATTAGTTTCATTTATTAACACCATTAAGGCCAAAATTTTGACATTTGATATCAAGGTAAATTAAATATATTCTCGAACAGTCTCATTTGCACAGGTATATATGTCGATATATTTACTCAATAATACATACGAAGCCAAGATTTCTATGCGAAAATTAATTAATATGCATGTCTGAATATATATAGTGTAGCGAAAATGTCTGTCAACAAGGTTTTTTTTTTTTGAAACGAATGTATAATTTTGAAATTGTAGGGTGATGAATGGGACCGTATTTTGCATTTTTAAGAGGACATATCGCATTTATGTGACGTCAGCGTTTAGGGTACCAAATAGAGTGATATATCAGAGGAAAGCTTATTTTTTCCTCTTTTTTACAAAAATACTAAAATAGTACATTACTAATGAAATACAGTCCCTTTCATCTCTCTAAAATACCTTTTTGATAGACTTTTCCCCTACCCTGTATGTATAGGATAAAAAAAACAATAATAATGTAATACAGTCCCATTCATCACCCTACAATTTCATAATTATACATTCATTCGTATACAAGTATAAAGTGTTGTTCAGTTTCTACTGGAAGAGTTAAGCAGTCCATACATCAAGACATGCTAATCTACAGCTAAATAAAAATAGTGAAATGTAATCTAGAGCGAAAATACCTATCGATTAAGAACGATTTGTCATCGATATGCGGCGAATTCGGAATCCTTCTCGCTCCTTGTGCCGTACATCTTTGTCTTTGAGGGGGACTAGAATTACATTCAGCTTGTCCGCCAGTTTCCCCTCTGTTGAAGCCCATAAAACATTGCACACAGAAAACATATAAGTAGAACAGGAAAGTTAATAGACAAATGCTTAATTTCTACTAATTTGGAAAATTATTAGGATATTTTGAGGTTACGAGGCTGAGTGAAAAAGTGTTATCTCTGAATCATTAATCTATTTTAGTCATTACTCTTATCATCAAATACCGTATTTATAAGATGCACCTCAAATTTATAAGATGATTTTTAGAAAAATATATTTTAAAGTTACTTTCGGATCATAATTCTTATTTATTGTTAATAACAACTTGTAGCAATATAGAATTCATCTTCAGTCTCGGTACTATAACTCGTCTCGTTAATATCACCGTTCCTATTACTTTCGTCTGAACTATTGTTGTCACTCCTTTCAAACACTGCGTCATCTATTAATGTTACCTTCGGACCATAAGATGCACCCAAAATTTAGTCCATTTTTATATGTACAAAGGTATGTCTATGAAGATTAGAGAGAAGGAGGCGAATCGGCAATTGTCAAATTTCCGTCCTTCTTTTTATACAGTTAGCGAAATTGACTGTAGTTGGTATGTCGCACAGTAATGCTGCCAATTTTTTAAGTGAATATAAAATGAAGTGTTTTTTTTAAATTGGTGAAAAGAATCAAAATAATGTGAAAAAAAAGTACCTGAGTACAAGTAACATGTGTGACAAAAACCATCAAAGCAAGATTTACTTCGTTCCAGATACAAATCAGATGTAAAAATAAGAAAAACACAAGGAGAAATCAATTCAATGTCTTTTTAAAGCTTCTAATGTAAGTAAAATATTGTATTTAGGTCTAAATATAATATTTATTGTAAACTAGTCATAACACGTATCATGGAATGTAGTTTATTTTATTACAAGTTTCTATAAAATAAAATTTTACAGTCATAGATCCTGATTTACAAACAACAATACTTATACATTCAATTTTACTTACTAGAAAAGAAAATTTGTTTTTTATTGAGTTTTAATGTTAGATAAAGAGTTGCTACTGCTATTTTTTTGTTGAACCCCAATTTTGTCATTGTAAATGTTTTTATAGAATCTTAAACGCTTAGAACAGTGGCAGCATATATATCGTTCCTAGGGTAGATAAACAACTTTCTAGAGATAATGCTGTTCTACACTTTTTAGAAGATATTTCCAAATATTATGAGACTATTTTTACTAATGCTATACTATTAGCTAAAATTATACTATTAGCAAAAAGTGGAAAGCCAAAATTAAAGGATCAGGGCAATATCATGTACATTCCCAAATATCCCTTTATGCTTGTATACTATAATGTTATTTCTTCAAGAGTATCTTTCATATACGAGCCCTAACACAAAAATGTTCGGACATCAACTGATTTTGCAAAAAAGTTTGAAAATTTCCTTAAGGGATTCAATATCATATGTTTTTCATTTATAAGAAATAATATGTATTGTTTACATCATATTTATGAAATTGTTTTCAAATAAACTAATATTGATTAATAAAACTAAACTAATGTTGATAAAACTGCAATATTTGTTGACACATAAATGTTCGAACACGTTAGTAAAACAAATAATAGCAAGCCATGGAAACAAAAAAAAAGTGTTTCTATTTTTACATTTTAACTTGAGATAATTCGATTATCAATTGGCTCCAAAATGTCGCGTGATAAAGCAACAAATGGTGCAATTAGAGAATTAATAGTAAAACTGTTTAACCAAGGAAAAACCTTTCGGGATATTGCTAAACAAATAAATGTCGCAAAGTCCTCGGTGTCAGATATTGTGAAAAAATATGGAGAAACGGGTTCAACTCAAATTTCAAGATATGGTGCTGATCAGCCACGCAAAGTCACTTCCCGAATGCAAAGATCTCTTGTTCGGATTTGTAAAACTGATCGCCGAAGTACTGTAAGGGAAATAACAGCAAAATGGAATGAAGAAATAATTGGAAATGTTTCACGAGAAACGTGTCGTCGCTGGATCCATAAGTCTGGTTTACATTTTTATAAGGTACGTAGGTTACGATTAAGGAAAATCTCATATTTATGCAGTGAAATGTTTGGTTTAGGCAAAAGAAAAGCCGTTACTGACGGAAAAACAAAAGAAAAGACGATTAGCGTGGGCAAAGGAACGGGCAATGTGGACTTTTGAAGACTGGTAAAGAATCATTTTTAGCGATGAATCAAAATTTGATGTTTGCGTGGGTGACCATCGATCACGTGTTATAAGAAACAAAAATGAAGCATTTCACAAAGACTGCCTAAAGAGAAAAATAAAATTTCCATCAGGTGTTATGGTATGAGGAAGCACGTCTGGTTTCAGTGTTGGAAAACTGCACTTTATAGACGGAATTGTAAACGCAGAAAAATATCAGAACATTCTTGAAACCAATTTGTTAGTGTCAATTCCAATTTTATCACCTGATGCAAACTTTACTTTTCAACAAGTTGGCGCCTCCTGCCATACAGCCAAGACCACAAGAAAGTGGCTGCAGGACAACAATATTTCCGTCCTTGACTGGCCCTCCAGCAGCCCTAATCTAAATATAATCGAAACTGTATGGCACAAGATGAAGCAGCAATTAAGAAATGATCTACAGCGCAACATTTCTGATTTGCGGGTAAAATTGCAAAATATATGGGATTCTTTTACCGCGGAAGATTGCGAAAAGCTTGTTAAAACTATGCCTGATAGAATAAAAGCTGTTATTAAGGCAAAGGGAGATGCAACCAGCTATTGATGTGATTTGTCCGAACATTTATGTGTCAATAAATATGCATTATTATCAACATTAGCTTAGTTTTATTGATAAAGAACAGTTTATTTGAAAACAATATCATAAATATGATGTAAAACAATACATATTATGTCTTATAAATGAAAAACATGATATTGAATCCCCTAAGGAAATTTTCAAACTTTTACGAAAAATCAGTTGATGTCCGAACATTTTTGTGTTAGGGCTCGTATATGAAAGATACTCTTGAAGAAATAACATTATAGTATATGGATTAGTAGATGAATCAAATAAAGTAAACCAACTTGATGCAATTCTTTAAATTTTTAACGAAAAAATTAATTTAAATACTGAAAAGTCCTGGACTGAAAATTACTACAAAATCGGGAAACCCAATTCTGACAGACCCAGACCACTTTTGGTAAAGTTTGTTAATGGATATTTTAAAAGAGAAGTTTTCTCACATAGGAAATTTCTTAAAAGTTCGAAACTTATCGTAAAAGAAGATTTAACAAATGAACAGATGAATTTGGTTAGATTGGCGGTGCAGAGAATTGGGAACAAGAAAAAAGTTTGGACCAATTTCGGAGTCATATTTGTAAAAACAATGGATAAGTTCATAAAAATTATGTATGTTGCTGATTTAGCAAAAATTTAAACAGATTTGAACTTTGCTTTTCTCTTTCAAATGCATTTTTTTATAAAAAACCTTCATTATTTACTACTTTTCTTTTTATTTGCAATAAAGTATTTATTTATTTTAAATCAAATTTTGAAGGAATTATTTTTGGATTAAGTAGTAGTACACGAGTGCAATTTACTTCCATACATTTTTACTACTTGTATAGGAATCGATGTATTTATCGTAAAACTTCTGTTTATATAGTTTAGTATATTATTAATTGACCTTGTCTGCAATTATTTCAAATACTGATTATTTATGTATAGGAAGCCTTAATGCCCGCTAACTTTTGCCTTCTCTGCAAACTGTAAAATCTACTGTGACTAATAACAAGCTTGATATTTTATTTATAAGTGAAACTTGGTTGACTGAAAATATAGCGAATAATATGATTCACATTGATGGGTATAACGTATACAGAAATGATCGTGTGGGGTTAAAAGGAGGGAGATTACGTATTTATATAAAAAATAAAATATGCTGTAAACAAATAAATTGTAATGCAAGCTTCTCAGAACAGTTATGGGTAAATATTAAATTAAAAAAGGTGCAATATATAATCGTGGATAAAATACCATTTTATATTGTTAAGCAGGTTTTTGGCATCTTAGTTTATTTCAACACAACTTTTACAATAACTATATAACTGATAACATTAGCTGAAAACTGACGTCAGGATCATCGACTTAAATAGCTTGCTTGACCCTTCTCAAACTGTCGTCTAAAAGTTTCTTGACGGGTAATGACATTTCCAGACATTTCTGGACTATTTTATCTTCTTTTACTTTTACTTATAACGACCGCAGCACACTGTAGGGCGATGAGTAACATTCCACTTCTTTTTCTATTCGTACGTTTCCTGTAACAGTCGCAGGCTACTGCAGGGTGCTGCGTAACAATATTTACAGTTTACAGCGGTTTAAAGAGAGCTAATATCTCAAAAGTACAAAGACTAGCATGTGTTTGCATTACTGGTGCAATGAGAACCTGTCCTACGGCCGCAATGGAGGTGATCTTAAACCTCACCCCTCTACATTTGATGATAGAGAATGTGGCAAAAAGGACACGACATATAATGATCAGGAACGGAGTAATCAGACGAAAGTCTACTTGCTTCAGGACTAAAGATACGGGACTTGCCCCAGGATGAAATGCTAAAGAAGTACAGTTTTGTGAAAAACTTCAAAACCACAGAGCTGGGCTGCAAGAAAGAATGGAGCCAAGAATCCATCGCGCTTGCAGCCGAAAGACGTGCTATTCAGTGGTATACGGACGGTTCCAAAACCATAGAATGAACTGGAATAGGAGTGTATGGGCCGAGAACCAAGCACTCCGAAAGCTTGGGAAAATACCCAAGCATCTTCCAGGCGGAAATTCACGCCTTCGAGAAGTGTATCCAGTTTAACATCGAAAGAAACTATCATAGACAAGAGATTATCATCATGTCCGATAGTCAAGCAGCCATCAAAGCGCTGAGCTCTTACGTAACCAGCTCAAAAATGGTCTGGAGATGTCTAGAACAATTGAATGAGCTAGGCGAGAAAAATAGAGTTACTCTCACTTGGGTTCCGGGACA